AGAAAGGCCAGCAGGGCCAGAATTCACCCAGTGGCCTTCTTGCCTTTCCTACTCTCAACTCTGAGGCCCCTAAGGAGGAGACCATGCAGAGGCAGCTCGAGGCAATGGAGGAGTAGCTCACAATTAAGGAAAATCTTGTGCTGGGCATTTAACCTAATCTTTGCTACATTGACTTTATCTCTGAACCCTCAGAGAGTTCTTTGCAGACATCATGGTATTTTTCCCTAATTATTTCAGCAACTACCTGGGAAGAATGAAGACATTTTCTTACATAAAGCCTGCACAGTGATGATACTCAGAAAATTTAGCATTACAATACAATTATCTAATGTACTGTCCAAATGCAAATTTGCCTGATTGTCTCAGTAATGTCCCTTATAACTTCTCCATCCTACCTAGGATCTAGTCAAGAACCAGCCTTTACATCTTTAATCTAAAATAGTTCATCAGACTTTTCCTTGCTTTCATGCTACTGGCATTTTTTTAAAAGATTCATTTTATTTTATACAAGAGCTGGGGTGTAGGCCAGAAGTGGGGAGAGGGGGTGAGAGGATTCACACAGACAGAGAGGGGAACAGAACAGGCAGACTGACGGACATACAATGCTGAGGGGAGCAGCGGGCGAGACAGGAGAGGTCTGCCGCGCCATGTGGGTTCTATCTCCCTGGCCGGGGATAGAACTCATGCTGCAGTGGCTGCGGACAGCTTCACAGTGCTGAGAGTCAACCCCTTGCGCCACCAGGGAGGCCCAATCACTGGCATTTTTTTTTTTTAAAGATTTATTTATTTATTTATACAAGCACTGGGTACAGTCAGAAGCGCCGGCGGGTGAGAGAATTCACCAGAGCCAGAGCGGGGAGCAGAGCAGGCAGAAGGACCGAAGTACACTGCTGAGGGGAACACTGGCATTTTTTTTAAAAGACCAGGTCTTTGCCAATTTGATTTGTCTGCCATTTCTCCGGACTAGATTCAGGTCCAATGTTTTAAGCAGGCACCTCGGTGCTTTGGTTTTTTTTGTTTGTTTGTTTTTTAAAATTTTATTTTTATATTCCCCATACAATTGCAACCCCCTTATTTTGACCCCTATGCCTCCTTTCCCGCCCTCCACCCCCCATAGTGTGTCTCTGGTTCATAGTTGTTTGTTGATTTTGATTTTTAATTTCTTATAGTTATTCTTTTTCCTGGTCCTTTATTTAGGTTTTCTAGATTCCTGCTATGAGTGAGACCATCCGGTATTTTTCTTTTTCTTTCTGGCTTATTTCGCTGAGCATGATCCCTTCCAGTGCCATCCATGTTGCTGCAAATTGCATGTGTTAATCTTTTTTGAAGGCTGAGTAATATTCCATGGTGTATATGTACCACATCTTCTTGATCCAGTCATCTATTTTTGGGCATTTGGGTTGTTTCCAAAGCTTAGCTATTGTAAACAGTGCTGCTATAAACATAGGGGTGCAGGTGCTCTTTGGAATTGATGTTTCTGTGTCCTTTGGGTAAATACCTAGGAGTGGAATTGCTGGATCATATGGGAGCTCTATCTTTAGTAGGTTGAGGAATCTCCACACAGCTCTCCACAGTGGTTGGACCAGTTTGCACTCCCACCAGCAGTGCAGGAGAGTTCCTTTTTCTCCACAACCTCGCCAACATTTGTTGTTGCTAGTTTTTTTAGTATGTGCCATTCTCACTGGTGTAAGATGGTATCTCATGGTAGTTTTGATTTGCATTTCCCTGATTACAAGTGATGTTGAACATTTTTTCATATGCCTGTTGGCCATTTGCATTTCCTCTTCGGAGAAGTTCCTTTTTAGCTCTTCTGCCCATTTTTTGACTTGGTGCTTTGTGCACCTCAGGTGGGTTTGTGCCGTTACTGGTGACATTAAATTTGACCCCTGGGTGGGGTCCGCCTGGTATCTCCACCATAGTGTTTAGGCTTTGGAGGGTCACCTCCACTTCATTTTGTGGATGAATAACCTGAAGCTCTGAGAGGTCAAGTGCCCTGTCACATACACACCCCCAGGGCAGGGAGGGCAAGCATGCTAACTCTACTCCACCTCAAATGCTGCACAAGTCTGCCTCTCCACAAGTAATACATAATCATATAGAAAAATGTGAAAGTACAGAGACACTAAAATTCACCAGGATTCCACTACCTGGACACCAATTTTTTTGTGGTTATTAACTTTTTGGTATATAACATTCTAGATTTTTCCCCATATGAGTACACACATCTAAATACATATCTAATTTTGTAAAAATAGATCACTTTGTTGTCCAAGCTGGTGTTTTCATTTAATAATACAGCCTAAGTGAAGGCACAGGCCATGTTTATCACCTGTTCTCCTGTCCCCTCAAGCCAGCCCCAGAGGTGGCAGAAATTTGACATGCCCTTGAAGGACCGGGAGAGAGAACTGGGGTGGGTGGACTCACCCCAAGGTGGTCCCCAGGGGTAGCAGATACCCTGAAGGGGCAGCAGGTAGGTCAGGACCACAGGTGCCAGCTCCTGCAGTCTTTCTTTCTGAAACCACAGCCCACACGTGGGGAGGCCTGGTATCTTCCCTCATTTGGGTCCCTTTGTCTGGCTGCTCATAATTCAATTCTCATCACATTTCCAGCACCTTCTGGATGCCAGTTGGGCCAAAGCCAGGCAAACTGCTACCTGATGAAGTGGTCAGGTGATTAGAAACCTGGATTCTGGTCCTCTGCTTTCTTCATTTGTTCACCCCACAGTCTGTTGTGCACCCCTAGCCAGGCCTGGGCTGGGTGCTGGGAATTCATGGTGGCACTGTGATGACAATTCATGTGGAAAGTGCTCAGTGGGGGCCTCCCTGGTGGCACAATGGGTTAAGTGTTGGCACTATGAAGCTGTCTGCAGCACGAGTTCAATCCCCGACCAGGGAGCTAATCGCATGGCGCAGCAGACCTCTCCTGTCTCACCTGCTGTTCCCCTCAGCAGTGTATTTCAGTAGATCCGCCTGTTCTGCTCCCTACTCTGTCTCTGGTGAATCCTCTCATCCTCCCTCACCTCTGGCCTGCACCCCAGCTCTTGTATGCATAAATAAATAAATCTTTTTTTAAAAAAGTGCTCAGTTGGAGCTGGGGAGGGTTGAGGTGTGGTGATCTGGAGTTTATACAACTTGAGGGTTGTTTATAAGGACAGAATACCAAGTGATGAATATAGAATTGATTACAGGTTTTTGGAAAGGAACCCTGAGCTTTCAAGTTCTTTATCTTGGGATAAACTCACCTCTAGCAGAAGGCACTCTAGAAAGGGGACAGACTCTCCACTGAGCACCAACTCCCCCGCACCCTGGAGACCCGCTCACCTTCACTCTACCTGGATCTCTAGTTGGGAGCCTTGTCTGTGCTGGACTTTACAAGAATCCTTTTAATATAGCTCCCCCTCTGTTTGCTGTTGGGATTTGGAAAATATTTCTGTCCATTTTTAGGATTTCTTCCTGCCACTTCATCAGGAAGGCTGCCAGTCAGCATGCACATCTTTCCCAACATCTACTGAGAACGACTCCACTCTCTGTCCACGTAATGAACACTGTCAGGGTTTCTAATATCTCCCTCCCTTGCATTCCTGAAACAAACTCCTGGAGGGTCATGAGGTGTTATTCTTGTAATTTAGTGTAGCACTAGAGTTCCTTTGCTAACATTTCACTTAAAACTCTTATATCTACGTCCATCATGAAACCAGCCAAGTTTCCTGCAAGCTGTCCATTCTATAGACTATTAGCAAGTATTAACAAGAGTGACAAAGCTCTCTGCTCATTTGTAAGGATGTCCATCTATTTAGTGAACTACAAATCATATGTATATACTTAGATTCTATATGATATATATTTTTTATTTATGCAATATCTTTGTCGTATAGTATGATCCCATTGCTTTTGAAAGTATACATTCAGAGAACTCAAATTAGTAAACTTCGCAGAGACCTGAGACTCTTTCCCTAAGCCTCCTCACATTAGCCATTTCTCCCAGGCCCCCCTGGCTTCCCATGACTCAGTCAGTGCTGAGTCTTCTCTCTCCACTTCTCTCTCCAAGGACAACTGCCCACCCTGGAGAGGACAGAGGCCAAGCTTATCCCCGTTCTCAGCTTTGTCCTGCACAGCTTCAACCAAGGGCTCCAGAGTCCTGAGACAGGCCTATGGCAAAGTGAGTGTCAGAGAGAACACAGGAAAGAAGGTCCCAGCCACCTGGGTCCTGAAAGACCTCCTAGGGGTGGAGGACTTAGGTTTGGGGTCAGGGGAAGGACCGTTTCCACCCCAGGTTGTCTGGGCCTGTGACTCACAGGCGGACCTCAGAGCTGTGGCAGGATGTGATGTCAGCTTCCTCGAACGACCAGTCTGGTCTAGCAACTCGGCCAGGCCCTGGCCAGGCTCCCTGAGGAGGCCACCTCCAGCCCAGAACTGAAGACTTAAAGCCCAACCAGCTTGGCTCTTTCTCAAGATGTACAAACTTATTTAATAAAACAGAGTCAAACAAGCCCAGGGACTCACAGGCTCTGCACCAGACCCAATAGAACCCTCAGGCCTTCAGCTGGGTGGGGAAGTAGAACACAGGAAGTAGATCACAGGAAGAATTCTACTTGGCGTCTAGTGCCAGCCAGCCCAGATTCAAATTCCTGTCCGCTGTCTGACTCCGGGCAAGTTGCTTATCCTCTCAGGGGCTCAGTTTTCTCATCAGTTAAATGGAAATGGTAACAATAGCTACCTCGCAGTCACTGTAAGGCAGGTGAAGAGCTGGCTCAGTGATTGAGCCATCATACAAAAAGATCTTAACCGTGCTGTTCTTATACCAGGAGGGATTAATTTAGTTGCCACACCAGTGGCAACAGACCCACAACTAAACTAGCTAGAACAAGGAAAACAAAGTGTTGGGGGAAGGGGCACAGACATTATTGAAGCCCAAACCTGGACCCAGTCAGCCTCAGGCAAGGTGCAGTCAGCCCAGGGCCCTGTGGGAGCCCGCTGGGGTCTCCTCCTCCTCTCACCTTGCTGTTCTCTGAGACCCCCTCTCACAGCCTCTGGCTCCGTCAGTACACTCCTCTGGTCACTGTGGAAAGCCTGGCTGTCAGCAGCTCCTGAGTTGACATGGCCTTCAGCTGTGCAGTCAGCCAATCTTTGCTGAAGTGTTTTGGTTCCACTTCCAAGTTTTCTGCAGAAAGCATTGATCAACTCAGATGGCCTCAGGTGCTTACCACCTGGCGAGAATAAATGTGGCACAATCCCCTGGAAACGGTGGTGGAGTTTGGTGGCGAGCCGTTTCGGTGAGGACAATTCAGGGCCAACAGAACAACAGATGCCTCTTGCCTGCTCTGTTCTGCCCACCCAGTCAGCCCCACCCCACCTGCCCTCACAGAAGCAAAGCTGATGGGCGCTGCTCTGGCTCACACTGGCTGATTTGATCTGCTTGTAAAGAAAGACCTAGCCTCTCGCCATCTCTAACAGACAGAGCAGATACCTGTAGTTTGTTTTTTAGTATGGGAGCTTCAAGTATAGTGTGTAAAAACACTTTGTTGAATAGGGTGGGCACACACCTTCCAATTTGGTGCAGGAGCCTGCCCTGGAGGCTGCCACCCCTTAGGCTACTTCCCACGTTGGCTGCTTACCTTGTCCTTGTAGGTGTGTAAGCCATGAGTTTTGCCGGGAGAGTATCCAGTCCATCACATGGATTTTCCAGCCATCCAGCCTGCCTCAGTCCAAGTCTCCAGGCTCACGGAGTGCCATGTGATTCCTCATCATTCTCTAGTCTCAAGCTTCTTTTCACAGCAGCTGGCTTCTGAGAAAGAGGGAAGGCAGAAGGCCCAAGGCCACAGGCCACTTAAGGCTAGACCTGGAACAGGCACCATAACTTTCACTGCCTACTCTTTGTCAAAGAAAGTCACAAAGCCAGTTGAGGATCAAGGAGAGAGAAACAGGCCCTCCTCCTGCCAGAAGGATCATCATATATGTTCAGGTAGGGAGAAATATTGAGCAACTGCCTTTAAAGAAAATTAACCATCCTACCTCACAGGATTTTAGAAAGGGATCCCAGAAGGGTGTGGCCCCTGCACAGATTGATACAGGACATACAAGAGGACCCTCTGTCAAACAGACTGGGTTCCATTCTGCCTGGACCACCTTCTAGCTCTGTGATCCTTGGAAAGTTGCCTTCCCCCAATTCAGCCTCTGAGGTTCAGGAATACCTGCCTCACAGGCACCATCAGAGCTCAAGGCAATGAGGGACGGGAGAGCTCTGAGGGGATGTGACTCTTCAAGGGCCACACTCAGTACATGGTGACATGGCTTTGGAACCTGGGTTGTCTTGGGCTCCAGAGGTCACCATCTCCTCAGCTGCAAAGCTCCTAGAGGAGCTTCTGAAATGAACTCTTTAACTTTAGTGCTCAGAAAGACCAATTCTAATGGCCCCTATTCTAAGGAAAGACTGTTCTGGTCAGTCTGAGGTTCCATGTGAAGAATGAGCAAGAGTCCCTCTGAGAAGGTCAGAATCAGGGCAGGGAGGCAGGGCTGGAACATAAAAGATGGACCAAATGTGCAAGGCTTGGAAACTGAATGGATGGGCAAAAAAAACCAGAGGTCAACCCTCACTGTCTTAATAGGCTCGAGCTGCTATAACAAAATACCATAGTCTGGGTGACTTAAGCACAACAGCAATTGATTTCTCACAGTTGCAGATGCTTTGTGCCCAAGACAGGGTAGCAACACAAATCTGTTGTGGTGGGGACCCACATCTAGGTTACAGATGCCTACTTCTCATTGTCTCCTCATGTGGTGGAAAGAGTGAGCCCCTGGGGGCTCTTCTATATAAGCACTCATCCCACTCATAGCCTAGTCACCTCCCAAAGGCCCCACCTCATAATTCCACCACTTTGGGAGCTAGTATTTCAATGTAAGAATTTTGAGGGGACACAAAAAATCCAGTCCATTGCACTCCCTCATAACTCAATGACCTTCAGCAGTTCCCCATTGCAACTAAGCCTGGCATTTAGGGCTCCCCTTGATCAAGGAGTTCAATCTCATGCCCTACATTGTCCTCCACTTACTGCTGCTTATGGCAGACGTGCTGTTCCCCAAATGTATCTTGTCCTCATACACCTCTGTGCCCATGCCTGCTTCATCAGTTTGCAAAGCCTTCTTGCTTCTCCTTCAAGATTAGCTCTCTGTTTCTGTTCTATGTTGCAATCCCTAACTGCTCAGCTCAGACTTTATGGTTCCTCCCTTACTGTATACAGACGCCCTGGAGAAACCTTATCACCTGCAATCTGTGGTCAGAGTGGCTGCAAGCACGTCTGCATCTGTCATCATTTGCCCTAATAATGCCGCATAACAAACAACCCAAAACCTCAGCGGCAAACATTCACTTAGCTCACAAGTTGCAGGGTTCAGCTGATCTAGGTTGGAGTCTCTCACTTCTAAGTCTGATCAGCTAACTGATCTCCAGTGGCCTCTGCTAGGATGACGGGTGTGACTTGGCCCAGGGCCACAGGTCTAGTCCTTCAGCACCTGGCTGGCATGACAGTGGCAAAAGAGGAATAATGAGGGGAAACAGTGCTTAGTGAAGCCTCTGCTCGCACCATAATGGCTAACATCCCATCAAGCAAAGTAAATCATGTAGCTGAGCCAGAACCAAGGATTGGGCAGAACATTCCAGCCTGGGTAGGAGGGCAAAAGTCACTGGGCAAAAGATGTGGAAACTGAGATGGGTGAAGAATTGTGGGGCATGAATACAGCTGATCTTCTGCAACCTCCATCTTTTCCACCAGAAGATTCATTCCTCGAGGGCTGTTTTTCCTTCACTGGGCTAGAAAGTCTGCCTCAAGTTGGTTAGATTTGGGCAGGAGCAGAAGGGTCAGGGAAGCCAGCCACTCCTAACTCTGTGACCTTGAGGAAAACTTTGACTTCCTCTCAAAGTCTCAGTTTCCTCATCTGTGAAGGATTGAAGTGCAAAGCCTGCCCTCTTATGGCACAGCTTTAGGGAGAGCAATTGAGATCTGGGCTCTGCCCAGTTTCTCATCTGTGATCCAGAGATGACAATGGCTCCCGCCCATAGGAAAGGGTGTGAGGATCCAGTGAGTCAACATCAGGGGCTTAGGACAGTGCCAGGCATGTAACAAGCTCTGGCCTTCAGGAGGCGTTGTCTTATGATGTAGTCTCCCAACTTTCCCAACCCCATACTTTCTCTCCTGGCAGTAGTTAAATGTTGCAAGTTTGCTGTGATGCATGAGGATATTTGTTTAAGGTCTTTCTCTGCCAGGGGACTGTAAGCCCAGGAGGGCAGCAACCTACTCAGTACTCAACCAACTCCAGACTCAAAGAGGGGACTTGAAAGTGTTTGTGGAGTGAGAGCAGGAATGAACAGATAACTGAGGGGGAGAAGGGAAGGTGCAGATGGAGACCCATTTGGGTGTCCGTGAGAAAGGCTTATTGTCTTTGGCCAGGTGGCCTGACTGGCTCAAGGTCCATGACCAAGTCCAATCTTTTTCCATCAACAAATCTTAAATTTACAGGGAACTTGCTCCACTTACTTCTAGTTCCTGTGTCAAAGGATGCAACCCCTTCTCCTCGGGTTGTTCGCTGGGGCAGCAGGCCTTCAGTGTTCCTGTTCCTCAGCGGCCTGAAGCCTGAAGCTCCTCCCCTCTCTCACAGTGCAAAGGACAGAGTAACCGATGGTCCCGGCCACTCACCATAGCCCTCACAATAACTCACCAGGGGGTTAACATAGCTGCTGGTTCCCATTTCATAGAGGAGGAAACTGAGGTTGCCAGATGATCAGGAGAGTCAGTTCAGTGCCCCACAGAAATAGCCAAGCCCCAGCCCAGAGCACCCCAGGAAAATGGACACTGAGCAGAACAAAGGCTTGGGGCCCACTGGCCTGCCTCAACTTCCACCGCAGCCCGGAGAGGTGGCAGAGGTGGCCTCAGCCTTGGTTCCTGGCTTGAGGTAGGAGTCAAGTCAGCAACCGTCAAAGTGCCCCCCACCCAACTATCACTCAAGCCTGGAGGTGCCATGTTTTCCAAGTCACTGACCTCAGCCTCGATGGTGCCACCCCCAGGAGGGGTCTCGATTATTTTTGCCAACTGCGGATGGGCAGTTACGATGGTCTTGGATGATTTAGAAATGGGAAATGAGGATTTAATCAATGTCATTTGGGAGCAGCACTGCCTTGCTCCGCTGAGCCTCTGCCAGGCCCTTTGAGGCACATCTCATCTCCCCATGAGGTAAGGCTCATTATTTCCACTGGGCAAGTGGGAAATCTGAGGCTGGAGATAATAACTTATTGACCCAAAGTTACCCAACTAGGCGGTGATGGAAGCTGGGGTGTCTTGACTGTCAGTGACTTTCCCACTCATTCGTGCAAACTTAGTTGCTGGGTTTGCCCAGAGGGTGGGAGGGAGGAGGCACCGCTCTCTTTCGATGGAACTTTTCTTCTTCAAGGATTTGTCTGGCAGACACAAAGCTTTCAAAACAGGCATCACACGGAGGGGGCGGGGGCCACAGAACAGCTCCTCAGCGGATGTTCAGCTCTCATTGGGGGTTCAAGTTGCCTCTCCAAAGGGCCTTTGCTCCAACCTCTGGCATGGAGAGCCTGTTGCCCTCAGAGTCACTCTCTGGTTCTAACTGAAGGCTCTGGGTTTGCCGTCCCTGGCCTCCCAGACACCGTCCTAACTGGAAAGGCAGAGTGTTGTCCACAGAGCCAGCAGCTCCGACGTGCCTCTGCTTCTCTGAGGCCAGTGGCCTCTCTCCTCCCAGGGAGATCACATGTGCTCGCGTCATGGAGCTGTGGTTTCCACTCTGGACTCTGAAGCCAAACTCCATGGAGTTTCAAATATCCCCAAGGCCTCCGAGGAGAAAGGGCACTGAGCATGTCCAGGGAAAGGGCTGCATCTGGTCTGTGTTAACCAGTAGCTGCCACTGCCTCGAACCCTGTCAGGGAGTGGGGCCAGTTTGAGGAGGGACCTCAAAGGAGGACCTGGAGGGAGAGGACTCAGCCTCATGCTAGCCCTCCTCCAACTGCCTCAGCCCTTCTCTTAGGCCCCAAAGGCCCTTCATGACATTTGGGCCAGATGTCCCATTTCTTAGGGTGGAAGCCGAAGTTTGAGGTGGCACAGGCAGTTTCGCGGTAGGACCACAAGGCATTCGGGGCTCCTGATACCAATCAAGAGTTCTTTCCACTACCCCTCGCCAGATGCTCAGAATCTGGCAAGTCCAGAGCATTGCCTTCTCCCTGGAGGAGGATACTGCCCTCAGCCTCTTGTCTGCTTCTCACGCTGCCTCAAGACACACAGGCAACCACTGGAAGCCAAGCCCCGAGGAAGCAGAAACTGGCACCAGGGGGGTTACATGGTGTCAAGATGAGGTGGGAAAACACCAGTGCAAGAAGAAATGATTCACAGCAGGCATGAGATTCCCAAGTGAAGACCAGAATGAGGCTGTCTTAAAACATGCCAGCCACTTGACCTGTAAAACTTTCCCCCACCCAGATGCATTTTTGCAAATTGGGCTCAGCCCACTCTGCCTGCACTCCCAGCCAGAGCCGGTCCTCCCTCCCACCAGACCACAGTGTCCTCCCAGGCATTCTCACGTCAGCCCCGTTCACAGAGGGCGCTGGGCCTCCCTCCCTGAGCACCGGCCTTTCGCAGGTTGGCAGTGAATTGGCCACTTGCTGCACTTGTGAGCTTGCACCTGCAGAGTCTTCTCCTGGGGTTTGCTGCTACCCAGCTTCCTGGTGCACCCCAGACCTTTGTCCTTAATCTCCACCCATGGTCCAGCTGGGGAGGGGCAGAGAACAGAATGGTTATGACATGATTTTGTTTGCCTGCTTGTTCTTTGGCCTGTGAGAAAGTTTTATATAAACAAGAAAGAAAGTTTTTTTTGGAGCTGAGTTTTCTCCCACCTCCCCATCCACATCCCAACAAATAAAGTGAAAAGTGCTAGAAAAAGTTAATGTTTGTTCTTTAGCCTGACTTTCAGGCCAAAATAGTGAAAGGAAAGGAAAGAGGTCGGGAGAGAGAGAGAGAGATGCTCTGCCTGCAGGGCGAGGATGCAGGGGTGGCGGGGAAGAGCCAGTGAGGCATGTCTGCTGAAATCCTAAAAGCACTGGGAAGTCATTACTTAATCTCTCTCTGCCTCAGTTTCCCCACTCGTATGATAGGAATAAGAGCCCCTACCTCATAGGGTTCCTTCCGAGGGTAAAATCCCTCAGAGTAGAGCCTAGCACAGTCATCACTAAATTACTCTTCTCGCTCATCAAAACTCCCATTCCCCAACAAGGCCCCAGAATGAAAATCTAACAGTGTGACAGTTGAAAGGTTGTCTTGTCCCTTCTGGCCCCGGTTTCCTCATGTCTAAAGCGAGTTGATTGGGCCAAGCAACCACTGCACCCTGACTTTTTTAGCTGTTCCCCTGTCTGTACTCGATCCATATTGAATACTTGAACCGGCACTGCCCAGCCAGGCTTGAGCCACCCCCCAACCCTGCTCAGCCAGTTCTCAGCCCAGGATGGAGCCTTCCGGGACTTACTTCAAATGCCCCATCTCGGGAACCCTTCCTTCCCTCCACCCTTGAATCCAGCTTAGCTGAGCAGCAGGTGCCTGCTCACTGAGGTTGGTAAGTGGGGTGTGGGCTGCACTGTGACCCTGGAAGGGAAGCTGAGTTTGAGGTCTCCCACAACCAGCAGGGGGTGGTGCACTGCAGGGTGGTGCACGGAGCCTTCTTTCTTACAGCATAACAGGAGCGTGTACTGAGGCCTTACCTTCTGCAGCAGAGGGTTTAACTCACTTTCCATGGAATGTCTTACTTCATCCTGTTACACCCTACCTGCCAGGGAATTACTATTAGTGTTCCCATTCCACAGATGGAAGCAATACAGAATATGAAAAATTCCCTCTGCTTCACCTTGCATCCCTCTCTCCCCTGAACCCTTGGCAGCCACTCATCTTTTTGGTGTTCCATAGTTTTTAGTTGGAATCATCTAGTATGTCGCCTTTTCATTCCAGCGTCTTTCACTTAATAATATGCATTTAAGCTTCTCTAATGTCTGTTCGTGGCTTGCTAACTCATTTCTTTTTATCACTGAACAATATTCCATTGTATGGGTGAACTACAGTTTGTTTATCCATTCACCTACTAAAGGACATCCTGATTGCTTCCACTTTTTGGCAATTATGGACAAAGCTGTTGTAAATATGCATGTGTGTTGGTTTTCATGTAGACATGTCTTCAGCTCAACTGGGTAAATCATCCAGGATCACGATTGCTTGATTGTATGATAAAACTTGAATTTTGTAGGAAACTCCCAACTGTCTTCCCAAGTGGCTGTGTCATGTAACACCCCCACCAGCAAAGAGAACTGCGGCTGCTCCACATCCTCCCAGCATTTGTGCTGTCGGATGTTTGAGTTTTAGCCATTCTAATAGGTGTGTTGTGGTAGCTTCTTGTCTTAATTTCAACCCCCGAATGAAAAATTATAAAGCGTCTTTTCATATGTGTGTTATCCATTCATCCTTCTTTGGTGAGGGATCTGTTCAGATCTTTTGCCCATTTTTAAATTAGGGGATTTGTTTGCTTATTGTTGAATTTTAAGAGTTTTTCATAGATTTTGAATACAAATTCTTTATCAGATGTGTCCTGCAAATACTTTCTCCCAGTCTGTGACTTCTCCTAAAAGTGTCTTTTTCAAACCAAGTTTTTCATTTTAATGAAGTCAAATTTTATCCTTTTATTTCTAATATTAGTAATTTATAGCACTACTTATATCATCTTTCCCTTTTTCTTAATTAGGTTGGATGGAGGATTATCAATTTTATTGATTTTTTTCAAGGAATCAGATTTTGGCTTTGTTGATGTTCTCCGTTGATTTTCTATTTTCAATTTGATTGATTTTTACTCTGATTTTTTTATTTCTTCTGCTTGCTTTAGCTTAATTGCTTTTCCTTATCTAGCTTCCTAAAGTAAAAGCTTATTGATCTAGATCTTTCTTTTTACTAATATATGCATTCAATGCTATAATTTTTCTTCTAAGCACTATTTTTATTGTTTCACACAAGCTTTAATACATTGTATTTTCATTTTCATTTAGTTCAAAGTATTTAAACATTTTTCTTGAGATTTCTTTTTTGACCTATGTGTTACTTGGAAGTATGAGAGTTAATCTCCAAATAGTTTGGTATTTCCAACTACCTGTTTCTAGTTTTACCTTGCTGTGACCCGAGAGCATGTGTGGCTTCTGTTCTCTTCAGTTTGTTAAAGTGGGTTATATGGCCCAGTGTGTGCTCTATCTTGATGAATGTTCCATCTGAACTTCAGAAGAATGTGTATTCTGCTGTTATTGGATGAAGTATTCCATAAATGTCAATTATGTCCAATTGATTGATGGTGCTGTTGAGCTTAACTATCCACACTTAATTCTCTGATGGATCTAAAAGTTGCTGCCTTTTATTTTGTTCAACTTTTCTTGTTGTGAGGTTGGGTGTGAAAACTTCTGACCTCTTTATGCACCGAAGCTGAAAACAGAATCTCCCCCTTGCTGGGGTTTTGACATATCAACCAAAGGCCTGCCTTCAAGTAATGGAATAGAGGGATGGAAAAACTATGTTGGGGGAGCAAAACCAGGTGCAGCTAAGACCACCCAGATCCATCAGCAGACCTGCCCTTCTCCCTATAAGGAGGAAGCAGCACCTAGGGGAAACTAAGGCACTAAGGAAAGAGTCATGAATCATGTCCAGGGGACCCACCATCCTCCCTGTTCCTCTGCCAGCTCTGGCCCCTCTGGACACCCCTAACTTTACAAAGATGCCAGGTTGAGCTGTAATAGGGGCAGAAGCTTGGGGTCAGCAGGGGGATTTGGGACTGGGGTCAGGTTAGCCAGGCAGACCCACCAAGAGTTAACTCCAATTTTCACTGTGACCTTGAGAATCACAGAACTTCTAGGGCCTCAGTCCTCAACTCTGAGCTCAGAAGATAACAGTATTTTTCTGGTGGAACTGTGGGGAGAAGAGAAATGTCAGCCACTGAGACTGGCACATCACAGTATCATACAAACATTTTCTCTTTTCCCCCACAGGAGCCCCAGTCACCTCCAGAATCCAACCCAGGAACCCCACCTTGGCACTGACCCCTCACTGACCTTTCCTCCATCCCACCCAGCCTGAGGGCCACCCAGAGGGACAGAAGGAAAGCTTAAAGCAAGCAGCTAGTGCTAGCAGAGTTATGTACTTTGTACATCTTAACTGATTTCATCCACATGAATAATTGTATGATTTATGAAATGTTGCTACCCCTATTTTACAGAAAAGGAAATTTGAAGCAACAAGAGTTTTGCAACAAAAATCAGTAAATGGGGGCCTCCCTGGTGGCGCAGGGGTTAAAGACAGTGCTATCAAATTATCGCCAGCCACTGTAGCACGAGTTCGATCCCCGGCCAGGGAGCAACACACATGGCGCAGCAGACCTCTCCTGTCTCGCCCGCTGCTCCCCTCAGCAGTGTATTTCAGTAGATCCGCCTGTTCTGCTCCCCGCTCTGTCTCTGGTGAATCCTTTCACCCGCCACCCCCACAGCTCTGCCTTACACCCCAGTTCTTGTATGCATAAATAAATCTTAAAAAAAAATCAGTAAATGGCAGCACCTTGCTTTGAACCAAGAGCCCACATTATAGGAAGAGAGGGTAAAGGAAGCAAAGATCCTCGACCTCAGGAAGATGGGACTCAGCAGAGAAAGGTTCCCAGCCCACTATTAGTTTGGTTGTGGGTTTTAAGAGTATAAGCTCTCTCTATTGCCCTTGGGCTCCAGGGTTTGCTGAAAGGAGATTTACTGATGTGGAAGCCAGAACCCCAGGGGAGCTGCGCTGAGGCTGGTACAGATCCCAGATCCCCCTCAGGGCAGGAAGGGCCTCAGGGATGTGCGTGTGCGCCCCATCCCATTCCTCTCGGAACTTATAAGCGCACACAACCTCCTAAAGATCTTGTTAAAATGCAGGCTCTAAGATTTAGCAGGTC